ACCAATTCTGGAGATCACATAATAGTATTTTGCAAGAACAATTGACTTATTCATTGTAAATACCTTTTTCAACTACATAAATAGCAACTATACACATTGACCTCACCAGATGGAATATACATGGATCAAATTAACTTCATCTGTGGGAAGAGATAATGGAGAAGTTCAATATCATCAGCCAAAACAAGGCAGGAACCTACTGTGAGACAGACCATTAATTGCTCATATGCAAGTTAAGACTGAAGTTGAAAAAAATTAAAACAAATCCACAAGAGCTAAAATATGACCTTCAGAATATCTCAGCTGAATTTAGAGGCCATCTTGAGAACAGATTTGATACATAAGATACTAATGACCAAAGGCCAGAAGAGTTGTGAGATAACATCAGGATCATACATGAAGAAAGCAAAAGGTCATTAAAAAGACAGGAAGGAAAGAAAAGACCAAAGTGGATACCAGAAGAGATTCTGAAACTTGCTCTTGAGTGTAGTGAAGCTAAAGTGACTGGAAGACACGATGAAGCAAAAGAGCTGAATAGAAAATTCCAAAGGGCAGCTGGAGAAGACAACGTATTATAATGAAATGTGTAACGGTCTGGGGTTAAAAAACAAAAGGGAAGAACACACTCGGCATTTTTAGCTGAAAGAACTAAAGAGAACATTGAAGCCTTGAGTTGTAATACTGAAGGCATCTGTGAGCAAAATATTGAATGACGAAAGAAACAGCAAAAGAAAATGGAAGGGTGATCATTAACCTTTCTGGAAATGCAGCTGGCGGTTCTCTGAGGTTTGTCATTAGAATGTGAGGAGAGCCACACAGAGACTGTTTAAAGGCTGTTTGACTTACTTTGAGAATTACTGCTCCACGTTAGTGTGGCAGAAAAAAAAGATTTCAAGAATTCATTTTTATACTTTTCATTTTTATGATAAGTCTTCTCCTTATCAATGGACAGAGACCAGCTAATCTTCTAGGAAGAGGAAGTTGTGCAGCCACAACTGCTGTCAGAGGAGATGTATGCCTCTCCATTTGACAGGACCTTCCTCTGAGGTAACTTCAGAGTCTGCCAGCAGAAGAAGACTAGAAGAGAGACACTGACCTACATACCACAGAGAACTTCATTATAGCAGTAGTGTACTTGCTTAGAAGTCCTTGTACTAAAAGGAATTGCTTGAAATCACCTGGGATAGTTTCATAAGATTCTCTTCTCCCTGGTTTTTCTTTAGAACATAAATTTAAAAAGTGGTTCCAGTAGAAACACAATTTGCTTGCATAAGAGAAAGTTCTCATTTTTGTTTTCTGTATATTATTATTCTTATATGGGTTTAAAATGAAAACTACTGTTTAATGTCGTTGAAATCTCTACTAGTGAAAATGCAAGAATTTAACCCTTTTCTTTCATATTCCTATAATTCTCGAAAAGTATTAAAACTACTTTGTCTATGTTTAAATGATTTTTTTAAAAACCAAAACGTTTCGCTATCATTATACCCAGATCTGAAGTCAACTGCATTGAACATTTGACTTTACACAATAGGATGAAAATAATTGGTTTATTTACTATTTATATAGAGAGACAAGAAGGAGGTTACTAAATATTAGCAATTTTACATGCTAAGTATTAATGTTTACAAAAATGTGACTCTTATGAGTAATATGCTTCTGAAGTAGCAAATAAAAACATAATAATTGTAACTTATACAACTTTAAAACTACATTGTTCATTTCTGATTCTTTTTTATCATCTTAATTTTTTAAAAAAAGTCAAGATTTGATTTCCTTTGAAGTTCTGTTTTATGTCTGGTTCTTTTATACATCATCCCTCAGAAAGTTCTATTTAAAGGTGACATATAAAATACAGTTACGCCAATCACACTCCAAGCAGGGCAATGTTTGTATCAATTGGATGGGTACTCATCATTCAACGAGGCTTTGGTTTGGTCCTGTTCAACTTATGGCAATGAAATATGTAAATAAAAAAATCAGAAGAAAATCAGGAAAAGAATTACCCAAAAAGAAAATTATCTTGTTTAAATCTGAATTGTACTGAAATCTGGGTGTTTCCATATTTTCACATTGTTAAATATGTTCCTAATTTGATTTACTGAAAGACTTAGCTCATGTCTTTATGTTTTGTTTTATTTTTTTATCGGTAAATTAATTCCAGGCATGAAATTCACAAATTCACAACTTATTTCTTGATTTGTTTTTTTATATTTTAAGGTAATATTTTAAATTAAAATTTTACTTTAAAAACTTTTAGGGATAAGCCATAAACAATTAACTCTTATTTCTCCTAAAAAAAAAATAGTGGGGAAAGGTTGGGATAATTGTATAAAGAATTTAAAATGGAAAAACTAACCATATTGTTAAAACTCCCTTTCATAGCCCAATAAAGTACATTTAGGGATTAACGGGAGGAAGGGGGGGGAGGAAAAAAAGAAAATGGAAGGAATACACAGAGTTATTGTACCAAAAAGAAATAGTTGGTGTTCAACCACTTTCAGAGGCAGCATATGAACAAGAACAGCAGATGATCAAGAACCAATAGTATTGAAATAAGAAGTCCAGGCTGCACTGAAGGCATTGGAGAAAAACAAGGCTAAAAGAATTGACAAATACAAATTGAAATCTTTAAATCTTTAAACAAACTGATACAGCACTGAAGGTGCTCACTCATCCACCCTATCAAATGAAAGGTGACCCAATGGAATGTGGAAATCATTGAATATTATCATGAGCATCACATGCAATTAAAATTTTACAATTATCCAAAAAAAAAACAGTTGCAGTGGTATATCAGTAGGGAACTGTGACAAAAGCAAATCAAACTCAGAAGAGGATATGGAAAGAGGAATGTCACTGCTGACATCAAATGGCTCCTGACTGAA